CACACGCCGGAGACATAGGATACTGACTCGCTTGGTAGCTGGTTCCAGCCGAGCGGCTCCGGAGCGAGCTCCATCAAGTACGAAGAGGAATTTCTACGACGTACATGGGACTTCCAAAATAATGGCAAACGATCTTCCGAAACGCTCCCGGCTGGAAATTACGAATACCCGTTTGACATGATCCTACCGGGTTCGACGCCAGAGAGCGTCGAGGGATTGACAGAAACCTGGCTCGTATATCGCATGAAAGCTACAATAGAACGAGGCATGTTGCAGCAGAACTCGGTGGCTCGGAAGCAAGTTCGCATCATTCGAACACTCGACACAGGGGCTCTCGAGCTCGCCCATGCAATGGTAATTCCCATCGAGAAGACGATGGGTTTTCAGTCAGTCACTAATGTCTATTAGTCCGTTGAAAACGTGTGGCCGGCTAAGGTCAACTACTCTCTCAGTACACCTACAAAAGCTGTAATCTTTGGCACGACCGTTCAAATCGACTTCAGATTGATACCTCTGCTGAAGGGACTGAAGATTGGGAAGATAACCACAGAATTGAACGAGAGGCAGGAGATGACCATAAAGGGGCCCCGAACACCCAAGAAATGTCGTGAAATCGTTCGACTTATTGCGAAAGACGAGCATCGTCTCCCGGATGATGTTGAGGCCGAGAACATCGGAGGACAGGAGGGATACGTATTTTCCAGGACCCTTGCTATACCACAAAGCTTAAGGAAATGTCTTCAATCGGTCGATGCCCTCGGGATCAAGATTCGACATAATTTGAATTTCAATGTTCAGATGCATAATCCGGATGGTCACGTATCAGAAGTGAGTGTCGATGAGAAAAATCCTTTTAGCAAGCCATTTTGCTGACAAGTAATAGCTACATGCAACACTTCCCTTGTTCATCTTCATCTCTCCAAACATGCCCATTGACGATAACAACAATCTGGTACACCAAGGGCCACAAACTATGAGTGCTTCCGCAGCTTTGGATGATCTTACCCCACCACAGTACGGGGAACATCAATTCGATCAACTCTACAGCGACATCGATCCGAGCGGCTACATGACACCTGCTGGAGCTGCCAGTGGAAGGGCCACTCCTTTCCAGTCACGAAGTCGAAGCGTCTCAACCGAGAACCTGGCATCGATGGATGGAGTTGCATCCAGTGATTTCGGCGCAAGCGTACTACAGTCTCGTCTGAGCAATCTAGATGTAGCGGGCTCCAATCGAGGTGCGAGAGACCGCTCGCAATTGTCGACTTCCGGCGACGGTACAGAACCTGGTTCCTTCGAGACTGCGAGGACGGATGACGCCGGTACACTACAAAGCTCTCTCCCTCGCGGCGGCTACTTTTTGGGTGGACATAGTCCCAGCACTAGCGCCCCGGTCTCCCGACGAGTTTCGGAAGAGGATGAAGTGACTTCTGGTCCAGTGACACCTCAGCACATCGAATACAGCGCGGAAAGCCTGGCAAAGGTTCCAAGCTACACGACAGCGTTACAATCCAATCCCAGAACCCTGGTCAACGATGGTCTACCGACGTATCAAAGTGCTATCTGTACACCCCGAATCTCACCAGCAATGCCACAGGCGCCAAGTCGCATTCACATTCATCAAGCTACGAGAGAGCCTTAAGAGGATTTGCATAAAACGTTGTTTGGGACAAAGCGATTGCTGCTGGAGAAGTACGCAAAGAGTTACAATACTTGCATGTAAGGTCTTTGTATCGTTCCAAAAGTTACACATGCTTCACTTTCATGGTGAAGGTCCAATTGTTGCATAGCTGAGGGTGTTTTGGGCATGTACCAGCGAAGATTCCCCTCTGCGTTGGATTCGGTAGATAAGCATTATATCTATATAACCACATTCAAAATTGACTGTCATTCGACATAGTGTTAGCCTTCCGTAATCTTGAATTGCATCTGGACAGTCCTGGCCGTTGGAAGTAGCTTCGCAGGTGACCGTCTTCATGTTGCTTTCCCTCCCATGCAAGGTGACGTCTAGCCGAAACGTTCTTGCCCACATCTCAACTTCTCAACATGCAATGCTCTTCATCTTGCGCTTTTCCTCCTCCCCCCTTACCCATTTGCTCTTACTAATTTTAGAGGTCGCTCAACCAAAGATATTTAGGCATCTGCCTATAGAAGGACAGTAGAGCACGCAGACCAGCACTCGTTCAATTGTTCTAGTCGCCACATAAAGAGTATCATACCAAAACCGCAGACATGGCTAGTCAAGGCCTACCGTATAGAAAAACCGGAGGTTCTGTTTCTGATGATGAAGCCGTACCTGACACCGATCCTAGCGACGTTTGTTATATCTCAGATTTCGTGCCTAACGCGGCCATGCTAACATCATGGCCAGACATCCAGTTTGCTCCTCGAAAGACTTCAAGCCTACAAGCACGCTGTTGGATATCTGGAGAGTTACATTACCGAGACAGAAAAGGTGGAAAAGGCACATGCCAAGGAGTACGAGAAGATCCTAAAGGTACGCACAGCTCCCTTCGTCGGTGGACCAGGCCGTGCTGATTCTATCGCAGACAGTGTCTAGCCCATTGAAAGAAGGCCATCATTTCGATCAAAGCCTGGGCGGGGTTGCCGGTCTTTTCGAGAGCATACGATCTAATACTCAGGTCAGAATATTCAAAGGTCCTGCAATGTCATTGCTAATCGTTCCTACAGGGCATTGCCAATTCTCATCTGGAGACAGAGAAGAACCTCAAAGGCTCAGTCTTGCCAATACTCGAGCGTCTACACTCCGAAATCAAGAACAAGAACAAGGAATTGACCAAGGGTGCCGCCAAGGGCTCAAAGGAAGTCGACAAGGCAAGGAACACAACTCAGAAGCACATTGAGCTCCTGGGCCAGCACAGTGCCGCTTTCGCCTCGTCCGGGGGGAAGGTCGAAGCTTCAAATGACCCCTACATCCTTCAACGTGGTGTAAACCATCGTCTTAATAGCCAAGTGTTGGAAGAAAACAATAATCGCAACGACTTGCTTGCAGTGCAAGACTCGTTCATGCAGTTCGAAGCTCATGTCATCCAGACAATTCAACAAGCTATGTCTGCATTCCTCCAATGCGTCTCTGGACAATCCGAGAGACAAAAAGCTATGTACTCGGACATCATCTCTACCGCCCAACGGATGCCCCCTGATTTCGAGTTCAAGGGCTTCGTTCACCGCAACAGCAACACTTTGATAGACCCGTCTGTGCCCAAGCGGTCCGTATCTAATATATCCTACCCGAATCAAAACCACTCATCGACACGGCCGCTCATTGCTGGTTCGCTTGAGCGCAAGTCTCGTGCGGCACTCAAGGGCTACAGTGCTGGCTACTATGTTGTTACACCGGCCAAGTACTTACACGAATTCAAAGACGACGATGATTATAAAAAGGATCCTGTTCCCGAACTCTCTCTTTATCTTCCAGACTGCACAGTTGGCAACATCGACGGCGAAAAGTTCAATGTCAAAGGCAAGGACGCCTCCAAGGGCAAAGTGGGCTCTAAACTTGCCATGAGCCATGAGTTGGCTTTCCGAGCCAAGTCGCCTGCTGATGCAGAGAAATGGTGGGCCACCATCCGTGAGGCATCAGGGCAGGGTGCTATTGGTGGCTCTGTGCCTTCGAGTCCTGTTGAAAGTAGGAACGTGTCAGGGCAACAAGCGCCGCCTCAGTATCAGGATACTAGACAACAAGCTCCGGTGCAGACTCAACAACCAGCTCAGGTGCAAACCCAAGGCCTACCCCAACAAGGAACTGGATACCAAGGCGCATCGATTACACCGGGTGCAGGAACTGTGTCAGGTTATGATCAGATGAATCGCGAGGTAAAGTCTGCAGGCACGGGATACAGTCCCACTACTGGAGCTCCAACGTCCGGGGTGGAGAGAGCGCCTGGACAATACTGATGGGCCAATACTGACCACTGACCTCGGCCGAGGTAGAATTATGCCAGCAGAATATGGATCTTTGCAGATCTTATAAGCAATCAGTATACGTTCTGTTGAATGTCTTTGGGCGTAGATATATACGTCGAGAAGCATGTAGCAAATGGAATAGCTGAACCACTAACATGATACCAAATCAAAGAGGGCGGAGTTACGGAGTACACCCCTTTCTTTAGCCTCTAATAGTATAGACAGCCCTCGGTATATAGTTGATCCGACCCAGCGGGTCAAAGAGCTTGGCCAGGATTGGTCACTTTGGACTTCATAATTCACATGGGACAAATTGGACATGGCTGTGTGTTATCGGTCAGAGTGCCTTCAATATACAACTGTATTCTTATCGTGATACTCTAATGACTCTTTTTATGAATCTGAATGCTATACTATCCGCACCTCTCCTCACTTTGCCGCGCCCTTGACGCTACAAGCGATTCACATTCTTGGACTTCGTCATGCAGGTATGGTCTCAGTCATTGGTAGTTGAGAATCCTTGCATTGCTTCCCTGAATACCTATCCGCACCATATGCGGTTCTTTCAAAGACTGTAAAGACCGTTCCGCTGTATCTCGGCGGGATCACCGTTAACAAAGCACTACCGTTGAGCAGTTTAAACCATTATTGAAAGTGTCAAGCTTACTGGGCATTCTTCTCAACAGACATCCTTCAGGAATTATCAATTTGACGGGAACCATGCAGCGAATAGGCGGGGGCACGTGCCACAGTTATCTATAAGTGACGACAATCATCACGTAACTGAAGCGATTGGGGACTTGTACGGGGAATACCAGAATGGGAGACGAGACTCAAGACCTCTAGGCTTTGTTCCGCCAAACCCAGCAAACCTACCAAATACATCAGAGTCGCAACGGCGACCCCCACCCAGAGCTGGACCCTCTCCTCCACAGTCCCTTAGAAACGCACGGAATTCTTTGGTCCGGAACATATCCAATGAGCGAACACCTACACAAGTCAACGGACAAGGTAGAATGATGGCAAGCAGGAGCAACTCTGGCGATGGCGAGGGTGGGCCAATATCACCCACCATGGCAGGGCAGCTGTCACCAAGCAACTCGTTGCACCGCACCCACTCCGACACGGCAAGCACTCATTTCCCTCTTAACGACATCGACTACGAATCCAACCCCAATGCTGTGGCTCAGGAGCTCAGCAACCTAGCTGCTATACGGCGGATGTCTATGGACGTAAACGCTTCTGGCGATCCGGATCTGCCATCCTTTCCCTCAAACTTCGGTATGCCTACCGCCCCGCCAATGGATACTGATCCAGATGATGCATCTAGACTGTACTGGGTTCCTGCAAGTGTGCATCCAGAACTGGCGCCAATGGAATTCAAAACATTCCTGGATAAGAAGGTCAAATCTCTGAAGAGGAGGTCGGAGGAGAGCTCGCTTTCGCCAGATGGCTTAAAACCGGGAGGCTCAAGCGCCAGTCTTAGGAGGCGCAAATCTATGCTGTCGAGGCAGATTGACAATTCAGGGGGGCGAGGCGCGGATGGATATCAAGATGGTGCTGAGGTGTTAGATCGGAAGAGATCGCAGTCAGGGGACAAAGTATTGAGTACAGGCATCACAAATCTACAAGACCTAGAGGCTCTCGTCAACGAACCCGAGAAGATCATGCAGAGGCTGAGCTTGGAGACTGGAGCTGAGGGTGGGGAAGTACTTCCAGGAGACGATGTACCAATCCTACCAGGCGCTCCATCTGGGGGTAACTCGTTGAGGCGATCGACCCGCACTACGTACCGACGAGGTGGCAGTCTACGTAAGGGTGAACGAGGCCCAATGTCAAAACGTGCAGCCTTCAGGTCAGATACTACAGATGGCGAGGAGTTACCAATTTCGGCACCAAGCGTTCCACAGAACGAAGCTTTCGAGAAGCTTTCGAGGGCCCAAACAGAACCTACACCGCCTCCCGAGCGAGTTACGGAGAACTTCTCCCGACCTGGACGAATGAATAGGCGTGCAGGGATTCCACCAGGAGTGTCACAAAGAACATCGCTGTCCTCGTCATTTGATGAAGCGCCTACGGACCACAAGTCTTCAGAGTTACGGGACCAACCAGGTATAGCCCCGCACACAAGGCATTTTGTCTCGCAGATTGCTTCGAACGGGAGATTAGGTGTTACCCCAGAAGCGCTCGGAAAGGGGATACCGCACATTATTGAAACACCTCCCGAAGAGGCAAGACCGGCTTCTAGAAAAGGCTTCGTTCCTGAACGAACAACATCACATGAGCCGCCGCCTATCCACCAACCCTCAGCTTCTTCATCCGCAGGTCCGTCCAGAGCTCAGAAATGGACTCCGCAGTCAAGGCAAAATCAAAGCATAAAGAGCAATCAGAGCTTGAGCGATATGACTTCCCATCCTTCTCCTCTACCTGGAAACAACACGCGTACAGACAGCTTGTCTTTCATCCCTACGTTGACCGAAGACAAAAAGTCTGCAGAGGCTAGAAAGGCTAAAGAAAAGGCCGATCAAGAAAAGGCGGATAGTGGCCGGAAATCAAGTTGGAGTTGGGGCTCGCTCTTAGGGAATGAAGAAAGGGAGAAAGAGAAGAGAAAAGCGGAGGAAGCCAAGCAAGAAAAGAAAGTAAGGGCGCGGCTCGGTAAACCATTAGACAAGTCGCACGAAAATACAAGACTCGACCTCTTGCAGACTACTATGGAAGGCAGCCGAGGCCGAGAAAGCATTGTACTTGACCGCGGAGACCTAAAGCTCGAAGAAGAACGAAAGAAAGAGAGCTCCCGGAAATCTAGTGGAAATGAAGGTAAGAAAGAGAAGGAAGGTGGGTTCATCTCATCAATATTCGGAGGTGGTAAGAAGAAGGGAGAGCAGGAGTCTAGGGGGAAGAAGCACTTCTCACGCAACCTCTCTCCCGAACCACCAATGCGAATATTGAAACCAGACATCGACTACAACTGGACACGATTCTCCATTCTAGAGGAGCGGGCGATCTACCGCATGGCGCATATCAAACTCGCGAATCCCCGCCGCGCATTGCATTCCCAGGTCTTGCTTAGCAACTTCATGTAGGTGCACTGAAGAGAGCCCGTTCGTCAATGGTACTAACGATTTCAGGTATTCCTATCTCGCAAAGGTGCAACAGATGCATCCCCAGGCACAACTTCCCCAATCGGCAGCCCAGCGGCAACAGGCGGCTCAGCAGAAGAAGGATCAGCCAGAGGAGTTCGCACAGTATCAGAAGTACCAGCAGGTGAGCGTTGCTTCCTTTGTCGAACCCCCATGCACCTCTGACAAACCCAGCAGCAACAGCAAAGACAACAAGAAGAAGAAGAAGCGCAACAAGCCGCGTCGGTCCAATCGCAAGTGATTGCTCTGCAGTCCCAAGTACCGACGCTACCAGCATTAGCCCCAGTACAACAACATGATAGCTTCATGGATGACTACGAACATGAAAATCTACCTCATGATAACAGACACCGCCCGCAGTCGCGAGCCAGTCAGCATAGTCAGGACAGTGGCAATGGGCATCCAAATCAAGCAATTGGGAGTCAACAACGTCGCCAAGGATATAACAACCCGCAGCTCTCAAATCCTTACCAATACCAGCAGAGCCAATTCGATGAGCCGGGAAGGGCGGCCGATGATGACATGTGGTGATATGAGTTCGGGGTTGAGTTTGTGCATAAAGTGTTTTACAGATTGCGAGAGATGGACCTCGGAGATTGAGGCCTTGAATGACTAGCCAGCATTGCTCGTCGCTCGTCCGTAGTGGACGTGTCTGGGCTCTTTTCGGTCCAACTTTCAGAGCGCGAAAGCAAAGATTGAAGATCCGAGCAGGGCAGGGCATACACAACGCCCATCGACGCAGTCGTACATGAGCGAGCCGAAGCTTCCGGAATACATGGGACCAGTTTCAGTGCTCTCATGATGTCAACGCAGCGCGTTTTAAAGGATCGAGAACGTCGAAACTGGAGTGGCTTCCGAACCGCGCGTGAACGATGGAAGTTTCTGGATAGCGAGAGAGAGAAGAAGAAGATGATTACCCTCAGCGAACTGAGGATCTGTGTATATTATGACAAGTCATGAGCGAGAATCATTGAGCGGACGTTTTACGCTCAATTCAATTCAATTGAAATTCAAATCAACCGACGCAGACACAACATTCTAGGGTTGAAAACAATGTTTTGTTCACGAATCTCTACCACTACCAGTTTTTGCTGCCTCCACCCCACCCCTTCCTCCCCACCCCCCTTCGTTTCACCATCTCCATCTCACACCCCGGACTTCCCCTCCCGGTCCTCCTTCGCAAACTTCAAACTGATACTATTGACACAATGCCTCTCGTCCGTCGGCGTGGGATAGCCCTCCCCCTTGAACACGTGGCCCAGGTGGCCGCCGCACTTGCTGCACAGGATCTCCGTCCGCGCCATGCCGAACGTGGAGTCCGTGTGCCGGGTCACGGCGCCGGGGATGGAGTCGAAGTAGGCGGGCCAGCCGCAGCCGGACTTGAACTTGTGCGTCGCGCGGTAGAGCGGGGTGTGGCAGGCGGCGCATTCCTGTGAGGGTGGGGGGTCAGAGAGGGAGAGAAGGGGGGGGTTGGGGGATTCTTCTTGTTGGTTCCATTCGCATCGAGGGCCGGTGATTTGGCTATGTACATAGATCGATGCAGCGGGATGGGACGGGAGGACTCACATAGGTGCCTTCGGACGGCATGTGCCGATCGTACTCCCCCGTGAAGGGCGCCTCGGTCCCTTTCTGCCTGATGACCCGGAACTGCTCCGGCGACAGCACGGCCTGCCACTCGTCCTCGCCCTTCTTGACCGGGTAGTCCGTCATGTCTCTGGACTGCCGACCGCCGAACAGGGAGCCGAGGAAGGGGACGCTGGGCATGGACCGGAGGAGGAGGCGGGTCGGGTGGCGACCGTTGGCGAAGGGGGACTGCGGCAGGCGGGGGAGGGTCGCGGTGATGTTGGCGAGGGTGAGGGTTCGGATGAGGGTCGGGAGGGTTGGGACGCGCATGGGGTTTGGGGGGTTTTGTAGAGAGAGGGTGGAGAGAGCGAGGGATGGGTGGTGATGTTGTTGACGCATCGTGATTGATATGCACTCGACGCCACTTGGGCGGGATGATGGCATCAATGCGGGCGCTAGCTCGGGACGGAAAGGGTGGCGTTAGGAGATTTGGAATCTGCCAAGACTTTTCTGTTGGGCTTTGTTATCAACAAACGGCACTTGCAGAGAATCCCCCTTTGCGAGTGGTGCTTAACAGCTTCTTCTTTTATTCTGACCTTACATGTCAAACAAGCAGAATCCTAGCCTTACAAAGGGTGAGATCTTGCAAGATATATTGAATTGAAGCTTTTTATGTATCTATCGTTCATGTGCTCGCTCTCCTCTCCTTCAAATATCTTTGCGCTTCCGAGTGATACCCTCACCCAGAAGTTGCTCCCCGAATCGCAGGAGTCTCGCCAGAACAAACTTTCCGAACTTCCAGGGTATGTACTCTGAGATCCCCTTCGCGTCCCAAAACGCCCATACTCTTCTATGTAGCAATGAATGGTGTGAAGGAAAGTGATAGTCACCCATGTGTCCCCCGTTCAAGCGTAGATAAGTGAAGCAGCCGATGCTCCTTTGCCGTATACCACGGTTTCTATTTTGCGCCTTGCGTGGAACTTAGCAGCAAGCATACGACCTCTTGTAGGATAGAACATTCTTGCTACCAGGTCACGGGGCATGTTATATAGCAATGAGGTTTAAAACGTGTTCATCGACTGCGGCAGTATACCACAAATCCTAATCGTTGACGTCACAAAATTCACCATAGTCCGCGGTAGGCCAGGACATCAGCTGGAGAAGTGCTCTGTGCCTCTCGACTGGACTCTCATACAACAAAACTGCCGTGTAGTAACCGTCCGAGGGCGATTGAGATGACTGACTGCCTGGAGCCAACTCCTGAGTCCGCGTTAAAATTTCCATATCAACTCCGAGGGTGAGTCCCGAGGTAGTCTCGAATCTCCACGTTCACGCTCAGCAGATCTGGACAGTTTTCATCCTCCCGTTGCTGTATAGCTGGTGGTGCCTCCCACAAGTTGTGCGAGTCCGCAAAATTCTGAGTCGAAGTCACGGTGGTTGTGAGTGTGCCAATTTGATGTTCCAATAAGTGAGGGTGCCACAGCAATGGAAGTGAGAGAAACACAGTATGACGCGACTCTAGCATCAGAACGTTAGCCACGGGCGAGCGTCGAATGAGTGGGGGCATATATCTGTCGTCTTGTAGTGCCAAGATTCCCGTTGTATTCATCCACTTGACTGAAATGAATATATTGCGCACTGCATGGCGTGAATGATGATTCTCTTCACAAGTAAGCTCGACGGTAAGGTTACACGGCTATATCTTGATCGCCTGAACGCCATGCTTCCACTCGATGCGTCATCGGTTACCTGTAGAAATCATTTGGATTCCCTTGCGCCTCAGCAACATAGCCCGACTGCTGTTGCGGCGGCGGAGCATGATATGCCTGGTACCCGCCTGAAGGTGGTCCCGAGTTGAGGACCGGATATGGGTTCTGGCCCATGCTAGGAGACGGCGCTTGAGGCGGCGGTTGTGAAGGTGGTGCTTGGTTGTACGGTGCGTAGTGGTCTTGGGTAGAGGGAGGGCCCACGGGAGTGTGAGGGTAAGGAGCTTGTTGGCTGGCGTACGGTGCTTGAGATTGCTGCGCTTGTCCAAAGGGCTCGCCGTCTGTAGGAGAGTGGAGGGAGGGTGAGTACTCGCTCTCGGCCTTCGATTGTTGGACATGAGGGGGGTATGATTGGGGCCGGGTGTCTGTGGGGCTTGCGTAGGAAGATGAGGAGAGCTCTTGCGGATTGTCGTAGGTTGATTGTGGGCGGTGGGAATAGGGATCTGATGAGGGTGGACCCTGGTTACCGGATGGTATTCGGTTGCGAGGATCGTGAGTTGGATATTGTGATTGCGGTTGCTGGGATGGTGGTGCTTGACCGGCATATGAAAACGGTTGGGGCCCATTCTGAGCTGGATACTGCGGCTTTGGGGTGCGAGAGTCTGTCATTGTGAGTAATAGTAGAGTCCTCCGAGAATTTTAGCTTACCAGGAGGAACACCGTTCGGACCAGGGGTATAATAGCGACCAGGACCTTGTTGGGGAGGTGGTCCCTGCTGTGGATAACCACCATCAAACCCATACTGTGGCTGGCTTTGGCGACCATACTGAGGCTGTGAAGGTTGGGACATCGAAGCTTCCAGCAGCGATTCGTAATCCCTCCGTGCTTTGATGAATTTCTCATTGAGCTGCGTAAAGTCGTCTTCATTGAACCATTAGCACTGGCTCTCTAAAGAAGCCTGATGAATCATTACCCTTTTTCTGCGAGTATTTCCCAATCAGCTCAATGAGCTTCGGTCGTATCGCCAGCGTTGAGTGATAAAGCTCCGTGATCTCTTCATTATCCCTGACATTCAGCTCTGAACTGCTGGTGCTTAGCAATGTCAGAAGTTTTTCCACGTTCTTGATCTCTCCAAAGACTTCAGCTTCCATTTGCGCCTCTCGCTGCAGATCATCCTGAGTGGGGTCCGCCAATTTCTCGACATAGTTCAACGGGAAGATACCGGTCTGTCCTCTCAACGAGCCCTTCCACCAGTCTTTGTAAACTGATTCCATCACAGCGATGATATCACCTTTGCGAAATTGTAATTCTCCGGCTTCTGAAGGCTGAAAGTCGAATAATGCTCGCACCCTTGAAACTGTAGCTGCGGTCGTGCCTGATGACACAGGTTGTGCGGGTGCCATCTGTTGCGAAGGACCGGCAGCTGTCGAAGATGATGCTGGGCTGGCCTTCTTTCCTGATGCTTGTCCGGCCGCAGGCTTGTCCTTGATTGATAGTGCCAGCGCCATTTGTAATTCCTCCTCCTCCTTTTGTCTATCAACATCTGTGATTTGACGCTTGTTTGGCTTGGACGGTGGGTAAAGATTCGGATCTGTAAGGGATAAGCCTTCGATTCTTCGACACGGTGATCAGGCATACTTTGAGTCTTCAGCTTCATATACGCCTGGTCCATAATGCCCAGGTCAGGATCCTTCGAGAACTCCTCTGACCATTCTGCCATGCGCTCTAGGATCTTAGCCTTCACTTGTTGATGTGTATTCTGAATGTAGATCAGCACGTAGCCTCGCCGACTTCTGCCTTAACAGCGTACCCTATCGCCCGCCAGTCGTAGTAGTGCATCTGTGAAGCTCCTCGAAGCTAATTCCCTGTGCATCTTTGGACCGCAATTTTGGGAGCACGCATTCGCTAGCTTTATCACAGCTGTTAGCACCGGTTTCTCCGTCCACAGGTATGATGGTCGTACCTCCAGTGTGTAGAGCTGCACATTCGCATTTCGGTGGGCAAGTCGTTTGATCATGGAGGCAACCGCATCTTTTGCTCTAAAGGATAGCCAAATCAGCCTGAGCGTCAATGCTGTGTCAAGATGGCTGTAACAAACCCTGAGTCTTCTGCGCCGACTCTATCACAAACGTCCTAGTAGTTCTCAGCATTTGATCATGCCAACGTTAGGAGAGGTAGCTTCGTCTCATACCAATATATACTCCCAGTTCTCTGACGTGAGGTTTTCATCGGTTGCTTTTGCTGTCCTACGATCAGTGACTGCCTGGAGCTTCCTGACGGAGAAGCTTACCGACGGCGTCATCGAATGCATTCTGCTGCGCTCGAAACATAGCTGCAATAATTTCCGAATCACAAGTAAATATACAGAATCCGAAATTTAAGTTGAATGAGGAGAATCGAAGTATGTGAGAGAATTCATCAGAGCCTGGTAACACTGTAACACTGCCTGGAGTCCCTGGACATCCTGACTTGCGGCCTTCACTAGCGGCAGATCTAATTACCTTAACTGTGGCTCAACTGCCGCTATGACGAAAATGATGAGGCGTTGGCTCTCTTCTATGAGTTCTGTAGAAAGCTTCATTTGATCACACAGATTTTGGTCTTCTGAGATATTGCATTGCATTGCGTTGTATAATTTTGGTATTTCTAGACTGACTCGCCGAAAAGTGATGGCATGTCATAAATGTTTCCACGACTCGTGGTATCAGAACAAATCAGCAGCCCAACCCATCGGCAGCTGTGCCGAAGAGCACTCTTGAAGCGCCATGAGTAGGACTTGGGGTTTTATGTAAACAAGCTCCAGCGCCTCTTAAAATGGGGGAGTTTTTTTTGGTTATCGCATCTTCGCTCGCCTGCTACTAGCATTGGCGCAGATTGAAGCAGACGTGGGGGAGTATGCGCAGTCCTTTTGACAAAAATATAGTACCTATAATGTATGAAGAATAGATCATAATATCTGACTTTGGTCTGCGAGCCACGACATTGGGAACATTAGGTCATTCATGACGGACGAGAGGGCCCGATATGGTCGATGAAGGCCTCCAGCTGTGGAAGCTCAGCGCCGAGCGGTCATAATCGAAGATAGCAATATTTGGTGCAAGTTGCGGAAGCACGCGGTGTCTATCATGCGCTCAAGAACCTTTCTGGGCTCTCTCCGCGGCCCGGCTGGTACGAGCTGATCGTACCAATGGAGCCAGATTGATCAGGGGCTCCGCGGTCAATAAGTATGGGTGCTACAGGGAGTCAGCAGGTGCAACAGAGATGTTCACTCGATGTCCGTACCTTCAAGAGGTCATGGGCAGATGCACGTTTCTCGGGATCCACCTTGAGTGCAAAGTTCAAGAAGTCCTTGAACACCTGTGACAATTCGTGCTCTTCCTTAATCTTTGGCGTTCCATTGGTGGCGATCAGGTACAGGGCTCGAAGCGGAGATTCTGTGAGGTATGGTGGCTCCCCTTCAATCATTTCGATGGCCATAATTCCCAGACTCCATATATCTACCTTGCGGCCGTACTCCTTCCGAGTTACAACCTCTGGCGCCATCCAGTAAGGAGTGCCAACCATCGTGGTGCGCTTGTTATGAGATTCATTGATTTGAGCACAGAAACCGAAGTCGGCTAGGAGCTATTAGCACATGTCCCCATAGGTCAGAAAGGCGAACACACTGAGCTTGATATTGCCGTCCATAGCAAGCAGGATATTGTCTGACTTGATGTCTCGGTGAATGACGCCTTTGGAGTGCAAGTGTTGTAGGCCGTTTAATGTCTGGGAACAAATCAGCTGAATCAAACATGCGATATGCACACGTGACGAACCTCCCGGCAAACAGCAGCAATCTGCCCTTCGCTCATCAGATTGAATGTTACGACATCGGTCAAACTGCCTCCCTCCATATACTCCATAATCACCCATAGATCTCCTTGACGCAAGTAGCTGTCCATGAAGTTTACAATGTTCTTGTGCTTGCTGTCTTTCATTACAAGGATCTCGTTGATAATGAGATCCTTCTTCGGCTGCTGCTCAAGATTCATCTGTTTGATGGCCACGCACTTGTTAGTGCCTACTTCAGTGGCTGTGTAGACACCCCCAGAGGCACCCTGGCCGATCTTATTCAGGTTCTTGTACCGCCTCATAGGGTCTCCCGTTGTACATATGGCATTGAGTCTCGCTACGATATCGATGCCCCCAGTGTTCCGGTTCGGTCGTCGCCTTGGGTTAGGCCCTGAACGAGCTTGATGCGTTGGATGTGGAACATTCTGCGGGTCTGGAGAAGTAGGAGAGAATGGCTGTGGTGGAGATATAGGCGCGTTCTGCTGCTGCTGAGGTGGTTGCCGTTGGCTTGGGCTTCTGTCGATTTGTTTGCTTTGAAGCGGTTTTTGGACCGGAGTAAGAGGGTGTTCCTGTTGCTGCTGATACTGAACTGGGCTACTGATTTGGCCGGGAGTAGCGCGAGACGTCTGCCGCGTAAGTCCATTGGTTTGGGTTTTTGAAGGTTGGCGCTGGAGACCAAGGTCGCGGTCTGTCTCCTCGGCTGCATTGGATACCGAACGGTTTCGTATTGGCAGCTCATCGCTTGGTCTACCCTGCATTGGCAATGGTTCCTTAGCAACGTGCGGTGCATGTGGTGCGACTCGAGCAGGCGTGAGATTCGCTGCTGTAGGTGCGCCGGGTGCTCGAGGCGCAGGACGTTGAGCAACTAGAGTCGACTGAGTCATAGGTGGAGGACCGGTCGTAAAATTGTTGGCTGTTGGCATGCTTCTAGGAATGGGCGGAGGCGCTCGTGGATTTTCGAAGCTAGTTTCATGGTTTGAAGGGAAACGAGGGCTTGTCGGAGGACTCGTGATGGTGGAAAGATGCGAATGAGTTTGTTGAGGAGCTGAATTTGTAGGTGTAAGAAGACTTAACCCGGACCCCGATGGATCATCAGCCCTGGCGTGATCGAACTTGTGCCACACTTGTTCCTCGTCTTGACCTCCGGCAGTGTCCTTGTAGAAAGTCATGATGTCCACAATGGCTTGCGGATTCTTCTCTTGCTCCATCTTCGAGATTCCACTCTCCTGTAGCATCCGCTGCCACTCCTTGGGTAAACCCTGCATTTCGTCAGTATAGTGTCGCAACACCAGAGTAACATCTGCTGTGCAGAAGTGGCAAGAAAAGCACTCCTAGTCGCGCTCGCTCTGCGCATCGTCTTGCAAACTTGGAAACGATAATACAGGGGAATCAAAAGAGTGAAGTAGAGATGACGATAGGAAAACTAGGCATACCGTGAATTGGCCAGTCTCATTGTCGAAGCCTACGTGAGTAACATGCACTGGGTTTTCTGGCGCAGAGATCTTGACGCTGTTGGATCGTGGGGAACCCAAAACACTGCCTATGAAAGAGGAAATGCCACTCTTTTTCTTCCATGGCGTAGAATTCCTTGCCTCGTCTGAGTATCTTTTTGACGTAGATGTTCCTGCGTCGGAGTCGGGCGGGGCAACGTTGTTGATTGATCGATCGCCAATAGAGAAGCTTGCGGACTGGCGCAAAGATGGGCTCATCATCTTCGCATTCGGAGTTGTGTAGGACAGCGGAGGCGGACCGGGTCTCCTTAGAGAGTTCTGAAATCCAGAGGCTTTTGTGGAGTCGAGTTGGGTCAATGTACCGGGATGCGCATTGAACTCATCGGAGGTCTTCTCATCAAATGACTGACGTGCCGAAAATCGGTGACGATTGCTATACGCTTCGCTGTATGCATCAAGGGACGTTGGGTTGCCGAATTGAGAGCCGCTAGGTGTGTTTGGTGATCGATCGAGGGATGAGCTGGAAGAGGTGTGGTAGGAAGGAGTGCGACGATGGCTGTCGTGGCTGCTTGCGGGAGACTGGGAGGACGATGGCTGTCTCTGCAGGTTTGTGGTAGAGCTTTGATTCATACTGGCTGGGGGATCGCTGAAAGAGCTGCTTGGCGGTGGTTGCTTTGTGAGTCGCCTTGGCTTGTAGTCCATGCTCCTCTGTCTGTCTGTCTGTCTCTCTGTCTCTCTGCTCTAGCAGCTGGCGGCAATCTTAGCGCGGAAATGCTAGGTTAGAGTCTAGAAATGTGCGGGCAAAGAACTAAGGTACTTGTATGGCAGACTTTGATGTGTTCCACGGAATGGAATCATAAAGGACAAAATCATATCACATAATGTCTTGCCTCAGACGATGTTAGTGATGCGATATTGCTAAAGGCTAGAAGTGATCTTGTAGATCTCCCTTCCCACCGCGTGTGTGGTCTTTAGTGCGACGAGCATCATTGCCTCTTATATCTAGCACCCTTTCTGACAGATGTGGCTATGAGACATTGAGGCTATTCAATATGCCGACATAGATCAGGATGTAGGTTAAAGGAAGGACTTTTATGACGACAATGTTGCATTTACAAACAGTCAGATTCCTTCTCATCTAGCTCATCTCTACAGCCTCCCCCTGTATCTATTTAGATTGAACATATATATATCTGGTTATGAGCGATTATAAGGAAGACAGCCTGACACCATTCAGCTTGCACGTATAGCACTTGATGTGTTCTAGATGGTGCTTGCGAGCTATTTCATTAAGAATCATACCGTTGTTGATCTTGCCTCCATACGAGTACCAGCAACGCGCTCTCAACTCACAGCCTCATCCCCCCTATCCTTGGAGTGATCATCACCCGTCAGGAACCCTTTGTTCGCATATTGAACGGAAACTGGTTGACCCAAGATGCAGCTTATTCCTTTGGGTCGTGTCCGATCTACGCTGAGAACGCCTAGGACATGTTTGACCTTCTGTGTGAGCAATAATCGGTGCATGTCAGTCAGACAGATAAGTCGCCACATCAGGGTTGCATTGTGAGGTAGGATGTTTCGAAACATATCGCGTGGCCGTAGTCTGTCATCCTGCAAAGTCTCCAGATATTGTTGAGGGATGCTGCCAGCTGACAGAGGTCCGAGGACGGGTTAGGATGAGCCTGTCCTGGACAATAGTCCGCAAGGCGGGGTCGGACGAGGGAAGGCCCGGTGAGTGCCAAGACGCTATAGACGCTACTGTTCTAGCCTCGGAGAAAAGTATTCAAGTCTGGTCCAATTCCAAAATTCCAACCTTGCACCAGACAATATATTCTCAAGAAGCCATCCTCTCTTCCTGCTTCGCACAGAGCATCTCCAAGACAAGTCTTGTCTCTCAGAGTCTTTTCTTCCCTTAAAACCTCATTATCATTCTCTATTGTCTTCGAGAGCTTTTTTCGGGAGCTTCTCTGTGCGATTACTTCGAGTCCTTGGCCCCGTTGCAATGTCTCGCCAATAGTTTCGGTATTGACAAACCAAGATTCCTTACCACTGAATCGTTCGTCTCTGGATATGCTTCTCTAAGGTAACTTCGGAGCGAGATGCTCCCTTACGTCCAGAAATAGTAAGTGCTGAACCGCTTCAGGAATCGAGTCTGCCTCTTCGCTGCCATATTTTCCCCAACCTCGACCGAAGCTTGAACCTGGATCATTGTCAACCGAAGATATCTGCTCTTGCGAGTTACCTGGCAAACATGGCTACGGACCCCACAACGAATGGAGGAAGCTCCACGGAGTCTCAAAGCTTGACGGCAGCCGAGAGACTCCAGCAGAAACACGAGGCTGATGCTGCTCACCGGCCCATGATCGAAGATGTTGTTGATGAGGAAGATATCGCACATCCACCGCCGTCGATGCACCTTGCTTCCGAATCGGAACCCACGCACGACCCAGTCGAACAGATACAGCCCATGTCAGAAAAAGCGGCTGGGAAACAAAAAGCAAGGGATGAACCAACTCCAATACCTGCAAATCCAAAACCCAACGGTATTGCGTCTTTCGACGCCCAGGACCAAGAAGCTTTTCCAGCTCTTTCGAGCGGGCCGAAAGCTCCAGCGCCCGTCCCAGCTGCTATGGCATGGGGAGCAAAGAAACCTTCTTCCGTCCATGCTGGTGCCAATGGCATTAACGGAAATGCTCCTCTCTCAAGTTTGAGCTCGTCTCGCGCCTCAACCCCTACATCTGGCTTAATGAACCCTGCTTCAACCAACGCTTCTCGCGCGCCACAGACACGAGGGCTATCAATGCCCCAGCAGATGCCAATGCCGGGTAGACACAGCGAGAGGATCCAGTTCGCACCATCGCAGTTGCTGCCAAGAGATCAGCTAAAGAAGCCTCTGCATGACGTGCTGAGAAGTATAAACAAAGGATCCAAAGCAAAAGTAGAGATGAAGTCCGGCCCAAACGGGAACATTATCTTCGAAGGCACTGGTCCGGTCGATGCTGCTAGGCAGGCCTTGAAAGATCTAGCCAAAGAAGTTGGCTCTAAGCAACACGTCAAAATCCCGATTCCGTTAAGCGTGCGGCCCCATGTCATTGGGCGTCAAGGTGCTGTGGTCCAGGGCATCTCAAAGCGAACAGGTGCCCGCGTTCAGATACCGAAAGCCGAAGACACCCCCAACTTTGAATTAGAGGACGATGATAGTCTCACCATTGATGTTGCTATCGAGGGTGACGCAGTTGCAGCGGAGATGGCTAGGCGTGAGATCGAAGCAATCGTTAATGAACGGACTTCAACTGTCAATCTGCGTTTACGAGACATTCCTGCCGAATATTATCCGTTCATCGCTGGTCCTCACAACAGTGGCGTCAACGCTCTCGAAGATAGTCATCAAGTCCGAGTCCAGGTGCCTCATTATCATACCTGGTCAGATCAGCCGCCTCCTCAGGCTCCATCATCTGGCATGCCCGTCTTTCTCCCTAGCTCTGATAACCACATTCGCATCTCTGGCGATCGACTGGCTGCACAGGAAGCGCGAGCTGCAATTGAACGCCAGGTTCAGGAACTACGGCGTCAGATCACCCTTTCTCAAATTCCCATCGAGCGCGGTCGACATCAGTTCATTTCCGACAGCAAAGGTGCTTCGTTGAACGATATTCTGGCAGAGACTGGCTGCGCAGTCATTCTGCCGCCTGCGTCAGAAGACACGGAGTTACTGACCGTCATTGGCCCGCAAGATAGACTGGAAATAGGGACCAACAAAGTCATAGACCTGGCTAGTAGTATGCAAATGTCTCTTGTCGACATTGCGCGCCAACATGCAAACGCTCCTATGGGCCCTCAGGCTCACGCTCGAGCACTAACGAGGTATCTACAACAGCGTCAGGCAATCGAACAACTGGAGAGACAGTTTGATGCTCGCATCATTGTGCCTACCATTGAAAATGGTCCGACCAGCTGGGAAGTATACCACAAGGATGGTAGGAATGGAATTCGTGCGCGCCAGGATATCACAAATCTCATCAGTGCACACCCGCCGACTCGGCTGCGACATGTGGAGATCGATCCTTTTTTCCATGAACATATTCACCGGCAGGGCGCTAAGCGTATCCGCGATGACTTTGGCGTTCATATCCTCCCCCCTGAAGAGATTAATCAAGAGCCTCACGTGATACTTGTATACGAAGGGCCTTCATCAAGCGATGGTGGAGAGTATCAATTGCCCAGGCAAAGACCATCAAATGACGAGATTACCGAATTCGAGGCAAATCTTCGACAAGCTCAAGATTTCGTTCTAGGCCTCATAGAAGGACAGCAGGACATTGGCGCCGCCAGCGTTGAGGTCCCGCCAAAGTAAGCGCATTGGTCATACTCGAGCGAACCCTTCTAACAAGATATAGGTATCGTGATAAAGTCCGAAAGTTTGTGCATCGGGAACAGCAGAATCTTCCGCATACAGAGATCCCAGTGCAAGTGAAATTTGGAGCCACTAACGCCGCCAACGGTGGTATGCCAACATCGCAAAGCCCCATAGCTGCTGCTGCACTTGATCATGAGTGTCATCTACGAGGACCGAGTAACACAGTTGAGGTACTCTCAGAGAAGATTGCAGCTTTTCTCGAAACGGAAAGGCAAGAGGAATCGGAGCGAGGTCATGTCACGAGCTTCGACTTCCCCCAAAAGTATGCAAACTACCTCATTGGTAAGAAAGGTGATAATATCAACAAGTATCGCGAAGAGTTTGATGTCGACATTCAGGTAAAAGAGGGCAAAGTCGAGATCACCGGGCCGAAGGCTAAAGCCGATGCCGCCAAGTCGAGGATCATTGCATTAGGTAAGAAACTTGAAGACGAGGCCACCCACGTCCTCAAAATCAAACCAGAGTACCATCGAGACATGATTGGCGCCAAAGGGAGTCAAGTAAATCAGCTTCAAAGGAAATACAACGTACGAGTGCAATTCCCTCGGTCGACTCCGGCTTTGGACGACGATCGGTCTGTCGCTGATGACGCGAGTGAGGCTGGAAGTACGAGAAACCGTAGGCCCAATCAAGCTCCCGATGAGGTGATTGTGCGAGGACCACGGAAAGGAGCAGATGAAGCAAGAGATGAGCTCCTAAACCTTCTGCAGTGGACTCTGGACAATTCTCATAAATCTACTGTTTCCGTTGCGCAGGCCCAACTGCCTTCTCTCATAGGCCAAGGCGGTCGGGAAATGGAAAGTGTGAGACTCTTGACAGGTGCGCAGATCGATGTACCTGGGAGTAGAGAAGGCGCAGACCCCAATGGACGTGTACAAATTCACCTCAAAGGGTCTAAGAAGCAGGTAGAAGATGCCAAGAAGCTTTTGGAGCAGAGAGCAAAGATCTTTGACAGCAGTATCACGAGGCACCTCGATGTTGACAAGAAGTACCATAAAGCCCTCATTGGCAGTGGCGGTAAGTCCTTGATGGTTCAAGCACTTCGAGTGATAAGTGAGCTGACACTTGACCAGGAGCAAACATCCGTAACCTAGTCGTTGAAGCCGGTGGTTCTGACGACCGGCGTGATCTCGCCAGAACTGTTCGCTTTCCCGGCCAAGACTCGGATGATAGCATCATCCGTGTCGAGGGTAGCCAAGCGCTTGTGGATAAGATCGTTGCTGCTATTGAGACTTTCGCTGGTCAAAGGGAAAACTCCACGACCGAATCGATGGAGGTTGCACCTGAAAAGCATCGTATGCTCATAGGCCGTGGTGGAGAGGTTCGAAGAGCTTTGGAGTCGCAATTCAACATCGGCTTAGACATTCCGAAACTATCACAGCAGGGGCCAGCGCGCTCTCAAGTCAAAGTCTCTGGGCAGCCCGCAGACATTGAGAAGGCAAAGGCGCATATTCTAGACTTGATAAAGGACCAAGAAGGCGAGGCTTTCCAAGTGCCTCGTAAATACCACCAAGCAGTTTCGGATAATGGACAATTCTTCAGGCGTCTCCGCAGTGATCATAAGGTCACAGTCGATCATGCAGGTCACCAACCACCAAAAAGGTCTGCTGCTGTACCACGACCCCATGTCAATGGCGGCGCCTCTCTGCCTTTGATCACTGATAACCAGGACTCCATGGACAATCACTCATGGGAAGTCGTCGATGGTGGAGAGAGCGCCGAAGAAGGCGACATTCCCTGGATTCTACGCGGATCACCAGAGAGCGTCGCCAAAGCACGTGTTATGCTGGAGAGGGCGATAGAGCAGGCAAAATCACAGCAGTCCCAATCGATTGGATATCTGGTCCTGCCCGACCCCAAGACATACCGCTTCATCATCGGCCAAGGCGGATCCCAGATCAACGCCATCAGGAAGGAGACAGGTTGCCGGATTACCGTGCCTCGAGACCAATCTGAAGGCTCTGCCATTGAGATTGTGGGCAGCAAGGAGGGGGTTGAACAAGCAAGAGACATCATACTTGATGTCGTTCAGAGTGGAAGTAGAAGAAATTGATGGACTTGCAGTCCCAGTGTACGTATGTAAGACAAGTAGGTCATTCGGTACATGCTGGCGGTCGTCAAAAGTTTGCTAGTACAACAATGTGAGGTATGTACGCAATACACACTATTTGACAATGCAAATTGCTACACGCCCTTTCTGAACTCTGTGATATTACTCTACAAGTGCTTGTAAGTTATTCTTGCGCATCAACATTGTAAATTCGGCTCTTCCTGCCATTGCCTTTTCAGGTGACTCGCATATCCCACTTGTCTCAAAGATGCACACGCGCCAGAGCGCGACCTCATCTTACTCCTCTCGCCCATAACAGTCTCTGCTTCCCATTTCAATTTCACTTTTCGATCGTTCAATCTCCAAACAATGTCCACAAACCAGCTCCGCTCCTTCTCGAAGCTCTCCCTCACCACAACGAGCAAAGCCGTCAACCCCATCGCTCGCCCCGCCCACCACATGTCCACTTCCACGAAAACCACCCCCGCCCGCTCCAACAGCGACGCGGCGCCCCTCCATCCGCGACTTCCCATTCCGAAGCCCGTGACCTCGCTCCTCCGCCCCAAGCTCTCCTCCTTTCGCGGCATGGCGTCCGGACCCGCGCACCTTGGATCCGGACCCATACTCGCGAGGGTGATGTCGGACCCCACGTTCCACAAAGACGCCGACACGGAAGCGAAAGTCGCCATCGAAAAAGCCGTCGCGGAGGAGATGTTGCAGAGGTACTTCCCGGGCCCCCTGGGCAGGGTCGTCCGCAAGGGCCCTCTTCCCGCGACGCCGGCGGACACGGCGCCCAGGGAGCACACCGCCCTCTGGCATGTCCTGAACGAGGATGATCGGCTGTGGGTCGTGTATGCCTACGCGCATGCGGGCGGGGAGACGGAGGACGGGCTGAGTATGTATATGCTGAGGCTGAGGCAGGTGATTGGGGAGGAGATCAAGGAGGCGGAAATGGGGGGGAGGGTGAGGGGTGGGAAGGTGTTTGGGATTGCGCAGGCGGGGATGACGATGTCGTTCTTTGAGTATTGGGGGGGGAATTTGGGGAATGCAGGATTGGGTGGGGTTTAGGCGGGCTTGGGGGCGGAACATGTCCACTCGTCGACTTGATCGAGGCGTCCCTTTGGTCAAGGCATGACGAGCTAATGGGATGCGGCGGGGAGAGATGGATTGTTCTGCTAGTGATGACCGTCGTCTTGCTGAAGTCGACATGGTACGGAAGAGTGCGAGTAGAAGTCGTGAAGGCCGGCAAGTCTTTGTGACCAAGATACCAATACTTGAAGACTACGACTTCCCTGCTCCCTCAGTCCACATCCGCATTCACTGGCGAGGTCGACCCAGTAGCCTTCCTCGGAATGTCTCCAAGCCTAACACTCTTGAGAGTTCCTCCCCCATACTCAAAGAACATGAGCTTGAGACCCCATGATAACATCGCCCAGGCCGCACCCGGCTTCAAGAAATGACCGTCCTCGTCCATCTTCTTCATGAGAAGCTTCAAGTACTGTACCAGTGTATTTGCGGTATACGGATCCCCAGCGTGCACGTAGAGAAATAGGGAACGTATGGTTCCCGGCGCTCTACCAGAGCCGACAGCAGCCGGCACATCAGTTATCTCGACTCGGTACAGAGCAACGTTTGCGGCAGGTAGGGTGTCGACAGTGGTGATGTGCCCGACGGGGCTGATGCCTTGGTAGCCGATAGTTGGGGGTTCGTCGTCGAGGACGGTACGGTAGCGAGGGCCGGAGAAGTAGGTCTGAAGCCGCTCTTCGACGATGCATTTTTCCATGCGGATCTGGGTCTGCTCGTCTGCTTCGCTGTGTAGCTTGGGGTTTGCCCGGAGCTGGGCGATAGAAATTGCTCCCTCCTGCTGCGGGTTTGAGGGGTTCATTGCTTGGCTTGATTTGCGGATGGCCGGCTGGAGGAAGGTATTTTCGTAGTACCACCAATATTTTGGAGTAGACTCTTTGATTTTTGCTTGACTCTGGAAAAGAAGGAAAGGAAGAAGAGAGAAAGGGAAAAAGAGAAGGGGAGCCTTTTATGGCTCTCTTCATCTCCGGGCTTTCGCAGGCAACTGAGACATATCATGACCCGCACTGAATGCCATTAGCCCATCGTCCATTGGTAACAGGCAGCAGGTAAGGAGGACGCGAAATCAATCACATCGCAAATTGATTAAAGCTCTCAGACTCATCAGTCAACTTAACTCCGGACAGTCCCCCTCCGACAGTCCCCCGTCCATCCTAATGCAGCCTACCGGCTATACCCGCAGCCACGCGGCTTGGCATAGGCCTTGGTATTAGGGATGTGATTTTACATGTAAGGCCATGTGCCTTACAGTAATTATAGTAATATAAAGCAAAAACTACGTGATAGCGTGTAAATTATATAAAACACTTAGTAATCTTTATATAAGCCTTCTAATTAATTAAATCTATAATCTTAATAATTCTCTATAAAGAAATTTTATCTTCTCTATTTAAATCTAATCTTTTTATAATTATTCTTTTATTATTAGATCTTCTACTAAGTATATCTCGTTATAAATTAAATAATATAAGAGATTAAATAATCTAAAATATCTTTATTAAGTCTTATCCTCCTTTAGAGACTTCGATTATATTTATTAATTATAAATTTTATATTAAATATTTAAATCTTATATTATATTATTCGAAAATAATATCTCTTAATAGAAGGCTTTTAAATTAAATATTAAATATCTACTAGCGCTCTACTAGCGTAACTATTAGACTTATATATCTTATAGTAATTATATATATAATTACTATAAAGTATAATTACTATAAAGTTAAAATTATATTATTACTTAATATAATAAGTAAGTAAATATCTATATAAGAGCGTAGTTTACTAATAGTTAGCTAGCGAATATAGACTATAAAAGATATAGAGTCGTTATAGAATTTAATAGTATATTTAATAGTAGAACTAATCTCTAAGAAATATTAAAACTTCGAAATATATAAAGTAGATCTATATTCGCTAAGTCTCTAAGTATATAAGATATATTATTAAAACTAAACTCTAAAAGAAACTCTAATATAATATATATAATATCGGCGCTTTAATATAAGTAGCGTTAAGATTTATAATAGTATTAGATTTAATAATTATCTTCTCTTTTAAATTTTAATTTTTAGGTGTCTAAGTAAAAATAAAACGCTTATTAAAAAATCTTTAAATCTTAATAGAGAAATAAGAGAAAAGAGTTAATCTATTATGATATCGTTTTAATAAAATAATAAAATTAACTATTACGCGTTATAAGCGCGTTATTAATATATTATATAATAATATTAATACTATCTTCGAGAATAATATCGCTTTTATAATATTAATTAATAATAATCTATAGTAAGTTAACGCGCTTAATATTATTATTTTTATAGCGCTAGTTAATAATCTCTATAGCGAATAATATTAGATTTAGAAATTTATAATAAAATCTCGAAAATCTAATAGATAAAAGAAGGGAGAAGAGTTTTTTAATAGATAACGTTATCTTTATAGCATATTACGTTTATAGCGAAATAATATAATAATAACCTTTATTATAAGAATTTAAAAGTAGTAATTAATAGAGCGACGCGTTTACGATAACGCTCTCGATTATTAATTAATAATAATAATAGAAATAATAATAATAATTAGACGATACGGCTCTATAGATAATAGCGAAATATTATTATATCGCTATTATCTATATTACTAGATACTACTTATTAATAATAGCGCTATAATAAAGAATATAAAAACCCCTTTTAAATTATTTATTTTTATTCTTTATAACTTCTAACGTCTCTCTTATAAGTGCTTATTCTAGTATTATAATATCGATATTAATATTAATATAAGTATAATATATCTTATTATATTAGTAATCTACTTCTCTTTATTATAAATATCTTATTATTACTAATCGCGTTAATACGTAAACTAATAATTTTATAGTACTCTTTTTTAATAATAATAATAACTTTAATAATAAGTATATAGTCGCTTTATAGACGCGATTATTAATTTTTAACTATTTTTATTACTATCGCTTTATATATATATCTATTAATAAATTCTAATATCTAATTTATTATATAGAATTTACTTTTATTGAGATAATAATTTATATATTCGAGATAAGTCTTTTCTCTATAATAATTATAAGATCGAAAGATACGATATTAGTTACTATATTAAAATTTCTTTATACCTTTAAGCGTAGATAAAAAAATTAATATAATATTATCGCCGCGCTAAATAATTTTAAAAGCTATCTTATCGATAAGTTAAGCTTAATAAAAAGATTATTTAATAATATAAGTTATAGAGATATATAATAGCGATAGCTTTAATCGCCTCTACTATAATTATAAATTTTTAAGATTAGTTTATAATAGTAAATAAGCGTATAGCGAAGTTAAAGAAAATAAATAAGTTACTAAAAAAGAAGCTTAAGAGCCTTTATTAATATATAGCGAATATTAATAGATATTAACTCGGCAATTATACTTTAACTATCTTCTTATTAAAATAATAGATTAATAAATTTAATTTAGAATTTAATAATAAGATAGCGAAGAATATTTAAGTAATAACCTTTTTTTAATAGTAGCGCTAGCGTAAGGCCTCTAGATAGTTCTTTAATAGCTATTTTAAATAAAAATACGTCTATATTAATAGTATATATTTTAATATAATATACTTTCTTTATAGTAGAGTTTAGTAGATAGCTAAATAATATAATTATTTAATTAATTTATATTTTAATAATAGTAAGTATAAAGAAATACGCGTATAGTATAAGTATTATCTAGAAATATATCTAATCTAATCGATATTTATATCTTATTTTATTATATTCGCTTATTTATTATTAATTTATATAATTAAATAAGCTCTTTAATAATAAGAGACTTATTATTATCTATTACTTAATACTTACGCTTACTATTTATCTATTTATAGACTTAAATTAGCTCGCTAATATTAATAAATTTATTATCTAATAATTATTAATTATACTCTTTACTCTAATTAATCTATTTAACTTTATATTAGATATCTTTCTTATATTTAATTTTATTAATAATTTCTTTAATTTTTTAAAGTTTATTATTATTAATAAGCTTAGAGGTCTATATAAAGATATTTATTATATTATTATAATCGCGATTATAATAAGACTTAAATAATAATATATAAAAGATATTATAGATTTTATATATTAAGAGTAAAAGTAGATAATACGTTTACGCTTTTATCTTATCTATAATCTAAAATAATTTTATAAATTTATAAGATAACTTCTTATTTAGACGTTTTTACTTTAGATTCTTAATCGCTAATATTACTAAATCGCTTATCTTATAACTTTAAAATTAATATATTTTATTATAATATTTAAACTAAGTCGTAATAGCGCTGCGAAGGCGCTTTATTATCTTATTTCTTAATATTTATAACTTCTTTACTCTATTATTTATAGCGAATATCTTCCTCTTAATAAAATCGTTCTTAATCTCTTAACGAATTTTAGAATAATATTTATATATTAGAAAGAATAATATTATTTTAATAAAGAAATATTAACTATTTATATAAGCGAACTCTATTATTAATAATTATTTTATTTAAACGTTTTACTTATCGTTAGCGAATACGCGTAAGAAGTATTCTAATATTTAATTTTAACGCTTAGTCTATTTATTAATTTATAAATAAAAGATAATGCTTAGATATCGCTTAATTTTAAAATAAAAGTAAATAATAAATTAGAAGCTATTAATAAATATAGAGTCTTTATTACTAATAATATTATTTAATATATTATAGCGATATACTATTTTAAAATAAAATACTTTTATTAGCTAAGCGATATCGATTATAATAGATATAGAAATATATCTTATTATTTTTATAAATTAATTTACTATAACTAGAATAGTATTATAAATAATATTCTTATACTTACTCGCTAATAAGTCGATAATAAAGTCTATAGAAATTTCTTTTTATAACTTAATAGCGATAAAAAGCGAACTTAATTCGTTATA